CCAGATGCTGAAGATGAAACTCAAATACTTTGGCCACCTAATGAGAAGGAAGGACTCCCTGGAGAAGAGCCTATTGCTGGGAACAATAGATGGCAAAAGAAGAAGGGACAGCAGAGAATGAGCTGGCTAGATGGAGTCACTGAAGCAGTTGGCGTGAGCTTAAGTGGACTCTGGGGATGGTGGAGGACAGGGGGGCCTGGAGGAATTTTGTCCGTGGGGTCGCAATGGGTCAGACGTGACTTTGCTACTAACAACAACAAAAACACAAACATTAATGTTAACACTGGGCAACTTGCAGCCCTGCAGGTGTTTTGGCCTACACCACTCATCATCTGCAATGACTGGCTATGCTTGCTGGGGCTGATGGGAGTTGTAGGCAAAAACAGCTGGCAGGTCGCAACTGGCCCACCCTAGAGCTATCGCCCTTAGAACAATCTATAACTTAGCAGCTAATGCATATAATAAAGTGACATCTTGCTCAACATGGGCTTTCAGCTACAACTTAACCTGCAACTTGGCTGTAGCCCAACAGAAGAGGATGCGTGTCACATCAGTGACACGGTTTGCATATTGTGAGAGATCACCATGGGTGAATTTCTGTGCAAGTTTCCCACTGTGGCACTGGCTACCTTCTTAAATATTTGGGGTGCAGCAGGAGCGCTTCACAGCTTCTCGTTATGTGTGAACTTGGAGAGGATGGGTTGTGGGGGTGGCTGACATGCCACACAGAGCCCATGGGTTGTTCCGGATTGCAGGTGGCTTGTCAACTACTCCAACAACCAGCTCTTAGTGGGTTTGTGACTAGCAATGGCACACTATGTCATGCCCTGTATATTTAAAATGGCAGCCGCCACGACAAGAAGCCTCACAGGGAAACATTTCATGCAAACTGGGCCATAATCATAGCTTTCGTCAAGAAATGGGCATATCATCACATATCTGATACAGTGGACTCGAGTCTACAAAAGTTTGCCAGCCTATAATGAATCTGTTAGTCTTTAAGATGCCACAAGATTCTTTCTGGTTTTTCACTATCCTCTTGGTTTTACTTAGAGAAAGGTCCTTGATGTACCAGACCTCTCAATAGGGGGATGCTCGGTATATTTCCTTGGTTTAATAGCAAAGGTTCTACAGACCATTTTCATCTTGGATGGTGAAATGCAGTAGCTGGTGGCACCCTGGGTTCTCTTTTCGGCTGCTGCCCCTTCCCTGTGCAGCGCTGTCACTTTTAATTAAGCTGCAGTTGCTGCTATTCCTGAGGAAAGGTGACTGGTTCTGCTTGGCAGTATTAATTAATGCTAAACTGCGGAATTCACCCTCTCGCTAATGAGTTCATTTAAATTCACAGATAAGTTGATGAGATGAGGATATATGCCTTAGGTGGCGATATCATTCCTGAGGCACCATCATGTGTGTGCGTGTACATGCATGTGCATCTGTGATTTAGAGAAAACGAACTCATCTTCCCACATGCAGTAAAGGGGGAAGATGACTCCTTTCCTATTCCAAAGATCCAGCCTGCCTCCAGCTGCCCTTTAGATAAGCTGAACAGTCTGAATAGTCAAAAGAGAATTTGGGATCTTGGCTCATAAGACTGAATTTGCACACTAAATTCATAGGCGGACATGTGAAAGCATGTGAAACATGAGCAGCAGCCTTCTGTGTGCAAATGCAATGAATTTGCGTGTTCCATAATAAATATGCAGAGTGGGGACCATGTACAAATGTGACTTTAACTTGTGTCAGGAAAGTCTGCCTTCGTGCAGAAGGTAAACAAGGCATGGATATGTTGCCCAAAGACTATGCTGGCTGGGAAAACCCCCCTGCACATGGAGCTGTAGAGATGCTCTGTGAATGAGAAAGCATGTAAATTTGCAAATGTACAACTTTCATAGATGTGCTAATTAGGGAAACCTGGGTTAACCTTTACATCAAGTCAAAATAGTCCACAGTTCCCAGCCTGACCCTGCAGCTTTTTGATGTTGGAATTTCTGAATAAGCAATTCTAAAAGGATTAAAATAAGGGAGATGAACAAAGTCTTCCAATTGCAATCAGGACTAGGATGAACTCATGGAAAATGGTTCAGAGTAGACAGCATATTCCTTCCACATTTTGTTGCATGGCTCTTCATAGCTTTTATAGGATTGAGGAACAGGTAATCATCTGTGACTTTGCCTTTGGATAAGGCCTTTTTCATTACCCAGAGATGCTGCGTTACCCTGTGCATTCTTGTATTTCTGTTAATTCATATGCTCATTTTAAGAATTTTTACTTTTGATATCTGGCCATCTTTGGGAGGCTGAATTTTGCCTTACTGATCAGGGAATGGTTTATTTAGTGTTTCATCATGGACTGTCCACATTTCAATACTTTGCATTTGTACTCTGGGTCCCCTTCTCCCAGTTCTGATTTTTTTTTTTTTCTGAAACAGACTTCTCCCATTAAAAAAAGAAAAAATCACTTATCTTCATTGGTGTTCAGCAAACTCTATAGGCTTCTTGAATCGACATATGTAGGAGGCTGAAGGAGGAAACCCAGTTAGGTAGTGTGAAAATTCAGCCTCCTGTTTCACTGGTGGATGGTAGTCAAAGACAGATAACTTCCTCCCTTCCATAGGCTTGAACTTCCATTACAACCATGGCAAAAAGGAAGAGCTAAGTCTTGCCAGGAAAAGAGCTAGGAAGTTTCCAAGCCGGGAACTGCTCCCTCCTCAGAATGTAAACCCCACAGGACTGTGCCAGTCCTTAAGTCACGTTTCATGGTTCTCAGCAGCTGGAAATTCACCCACTAAGATGCAGCTAAGACAACGGGTGCAGTGGAATTCTGCGCATCCTTAGGCCCCCTTAAGGAAAGTGCACACCCTATACTGTATGCATGAATACAAATAAATACAAGTGGCACAACCTTAAACCAACAAGAAATGCACCAATATGAAACACAATCTGAATGGATAGAACCCCAAAATTTACAATAGGTATTTCAAGAGCACTCTTCATCAGTGGCCTAAGAGAACTGCAGTCCATGCAGCTGAAACGCATTTGACCAATTGTTACAGTTTTCAGGATCCATTCATTCAGGTTTTAATTTTTGTATTTATATATTTGTTATTGTTATGCACTTATAATACTTGTATTTATTTGTATTCAAGCACACCACAGAGATATGTATTCTTCTTAAGTTGGGTTTTTGTGGATATTATTAATACATTTGTAAAGGATTATTTTTTGCTTCGTTGGTTATTATACCTTACAAATAAAGTAAGCCATCAGGGAGAGGTGGTGGCAAATGGATGAATGAAAAGAGGGAGGGAGGGAGGGATCAAAGCTCGACAGCTTTGCATGCAAAAGGCTCCCAGTTCAATCCCTGGCATTTCTGGTTAAAAGGTTCCGGTGGTGGGTTCTGTGGTGGGTTCTATGGAAGATCCTCAGCCCGAGTCCCTGGAAAGCCACTGCCCATCAGAGACCTCATCTAATACACCTTCCAACACAATTCTTCCATGCGTCCTCTGCACAGTTAGCACAGCCTCATTCTCAGGTTCAGCTCTGCCTTTGGATGGTGAGAGCAACATAAATGGGAGGACGGAAGTTGTGATTCCAGTGTCCACAGAACTCAAAGAAAAAGCAAATACCCCGTGAAGGGCAGAGTTGACCAATTGCATTTAGCATTTAAATGCCTCCCTGGTGGAACAGGCACGTTGGTTTTGCTCTGGCCAAATCTCACTATGCGCTGCATTATCCAGAAGCAAAGGGAAAGCACCCAAAGGTCAATGGTTGGGAAGAAAGGCACAGGGGAGAGAAATTGACCCACTGATAATGCTTTCTTGTTTCAGCCTGGAGTTCAGTGACCTGTTAAGCGTTGCCCATGAATGGAAAGGGAAGATGGCACATTTTAAATGCACAAATACAAAGGAGAACATTGCCCAAACAGCAAGGAATCCACCGGCAAGATCAATGGAACCATCAATGGAACCCATAGCAAGTGAGCATCATTTAATATTAGAAAATAACAGTGCCATATATTCAACGGCTACATAAAGAACATAAAATACTAGTGCTGTACCCAACTTTCACTGATATAAACTGCATATATAAGTGAATCTTAACTATGAACTAGGCATGACAATATCCCATTTCATTATTTCATCAGAACCATATGATTTTTTTGTATTTTTATGTTCTTTACGTGTCATTGCAATAAACAGAACTAGAACAGTTTAAGACATACCAAAATCCCTGTAGCACCAAACAAACTGTTACAGGTTCAGGTTTACAGGGAGGTAAACGTGCATTAGCATTTTACCCTCAGAGGCTGAGCATGGCGGCATATGCATTTGTGAGTCAGTGCCTACTTCCTCACAAAATGCAGCTGGCTTTAAAATGCTCGCTCAATTTTCTTTGAATTTTACATTATCCTTTTTCCTTGCACACACACACCAAACCAAAACATGCAGCCAAGTTCAAAATCAATAGTTGGGGTCTATGCAACAATACCATCTATTTTTGGGGTGCTGCCAGGCAAGGCATTTATTCTGCTTAATTCTCAGAACTCTCCCATTTGTACTCTTCCAGTGTGTGGAATCCTTTCCTATCACTTCCTCTGTCCTCTTTCTTGCCACAGTTATGTTAGAGGGAAGGATGGAATCGCTGCAAAAGGTGTTTGGGCTGGGAGTGCTCGGAACCCTTTGTCTGGAAGACCCTTGGTGTTTTCCTTCAGCCGGTTCTTTCAGAGCCACTGTGATGCAGGGATGAGAATCCTGGACTGGGACCTGGGAGTTCTGTGTTCTGGCCCCCGCACCCTTGACTCAGAGCCTAACCTACCTTACAGGGATGCTGTGAGCATAAGATGGAGAAGGAAAAGATCGTGTCAGACACCTTGGTTTCCTTGGAGGAAGAACGTTGGGATAGAAGTGGAATAATAAATATAAGCAAGCACCACATGCAAGATACAGACAGACCCAAGAGCGGTTTAAAGCACATTTATTATCGGATGCAGGGGGATGAGAAAGAGAATCCGTCTTCTCACCCTTCTGGGCTGCTTGCCTTTCTTAGAGACAAACCTCCTCTTCTGCCTAGCCGCGTCTGCTCACCCAGCCCAGGTGCCCCAGTCCGGATTACAGGAAAGGACTCAAGGGCTGATGCAGTCGGTGGGGTCCAAGGAGACGGTGACATCAGCCTTGCACTGAATTATGCTGGGCGCGCCCGGCAGCAGCTGGCAGCTCTGTAGCTCCGGGGCCACTTCTTTCACGCACACTGCCTGGGGGTGGGGGAGAGAGAGAGAGAGAGAGAGAGAGGAGAGCGTGATGAGGGCAGCTGGAAGGAGGAGGGCGCCTGGGCCAGGTTTCCCCCACCCACTGGCCATGCCCAGCTTTCAAGTCCAGTGCATGCACTTGGAACACTTTCGATCCACTTCGTGGAAAACACGGGAGTGGGAGACACATTTCTTAATTAAGAATACTTTTCTCCAGGTGTTCTAGGAGCCAGCAACTCTATTTTCCTAGAGCTGCAACTCCTGTAACTTTACCTGGATATAAGTCCCACTCTCTGGATGTAAACGGGGCTCACTTCCGAGTGATTAGGTTTAGAATTGCACCTTATTTACCCAGACTTGTTTCTGGGTAACCAGCTTTAGGATTTGGTTGCAAACAGATGCTTGTACTGGTTTTTATAAAAGTTGCCTCTCAGTGCTGCTTTTCTGTTTAATTTCTGTTTGGGGCTGTCTTTGAGGAAGATTGCAAACGGAGTAGCTAGAACATAATAAAGAAACGAGTATCCTTTGCTATAATTACTATAATAATGTGACCAGGTTGCAATCTAGTCGATGTCATATGCTTATCGTAAATAGACTAAGAGGAGCCCTCCCCGCCACCCCTTCCCCCCGCCTGAGCCCCGGCTGCCGGGGGCGCCGCGACTCACTGCCGAGCCGTGCGCGGCCCCCGGCCCGAGGGCGTCTCACCATGTTGCGCAGCCCGCCCGGGCTCTGGCGCGGCTCGGCGGCCAGAAAGGCGGCGGCGGCGGCGGCGCTGTTCTCGGCGCTGCTGTCCGTCCCGCCGTTGTCGTCGGAGCCGGAGCGGCGCATGTAGGGCGAGCGGCGGATGCCGGACAGCAGCCCGGACGCTCTGCCCACGGAGTAGTAGCTGGGGCCGGCCGCCTGCTTGTACCACGCCTCGGCGGGCGGGCTGAGCAGCGCGGCCAGGGCGAGGCAGAGCAGCGCCGGAGCGCGGGGTCCCCGCATGGCGCGGCTGCGGCTGGGGCTGGCGCGGCGGCTGGGCGGCTGCCACCGGCGGCGCCTTATATCGGGGAGGCAGCGGCGGGGGCGGGATGGCTCAGCCTCCCGCCGGAGCCCCCCGCACCCCGGAGCGGGCGGGGGAGCGCGGCGGGCGAAGCGCCCTCTCCGCGGAAAGGGCTGCGGGGAAGGCAGGGGCGCCCGCCGCCGCCGCCCCGGGCGTGTCTGCGCAGGAGCAAGGCTCGCTCCGGATCCACGGGCTCCTTCCCCGGACGTGCCTCTTGAAGCTGGCGTGACCCCGGGTCGGAGCCTCCTCTTGGATGGGGAGGAAGGTCGGCGAGGGGAAGGCCAAGCATGGTGGGGAGAGCAGCACGAGGCTTGCTGCCCCGCCGGCGGAGGCCCGCGGCCGCACAGCCCCCCGGTGCTGCGGAGCAAGCGGCGAATCGGCCCTCCGGCAGCTGAGGCAGAATTGCCCCGAGCTTCACGCCCGGGAAGAAGGGAGGAATCGGACTTGGGCGCCTGTCTCGTTAAGACAGGCTTACTGCCCACAGCACATGTTATTTCTCTCCGTTGAATAACATTTTAAACCGGTAATTTCAAGGATCATAGAATTCTAGGATCTGGTTGTATACTATTTTGATCTTTAAAAGGGATCTTCTGTGACTAGTTGGAATCTAATCGCTTGTGGTAGCACAGACACGGAACATACCATGTAATTCCATTTAAAATGACAATTTCTGAATTTTCGTTGCGGTGAATCCTTATTCGATATCGCTTCGAATATATTTTCAGTGGCCCTTTTCTACTCATAGACATGTAAAAGAGCTGCCAAGTAGCAGTACAAGATTACAGTGCTTTAGCAGCCATGGATGCACTATTCACAGTTGATGCATCTGGAAGGTGATGCATCAATTGATTGGATTGCCTCAATCAATCAATCAATCAATCAATCAATCAGGGTAGGTGTGAAGTGCATTCGGACTGTGCCATTCTCCTCTGCAGTCTCCTAGTTTCTCACGCGCACACATCCTTCCCTCGATTCCCGCCTCTCCCCATTTTATCGCGCTCGGGAGCTGTCCCTTGCTGAAGCAGGCTGTGGAAGTTTCTTAACTTGAGCAAGAATTACCAAGTTTGTTGGACTGCAGCCCCACCATAGTAGAATCTACTGCCCTCTCGCGGCTTTTTCCAGTCGTGCACGCAGCTGTCCTCGAATGAGAATAGGTTGAGGAGGAAAGGGTTGACAAGGGAGTTTCGGCCTGAAGGGAGAAAATGTTAACGAATGTAAATGATCATTGTGTCCCAATAGATAGAAGTCAGGCTTGCAGGAATCAGAAAATGCAAATTTAACAAAGCCAATGTAAATATCCTTCGTGTTAGACCGATTAACCAGTTGGGATAAAGAGGTTGCCAAAAGCTATAAAAGAAGTTAGACTGCAATTGTTTCTTGTTACTACCCTCAAATGGTATTATCCACTTGCATGCAAGGTATAGAACCTCCTGTTGGTATTTTTGTGTGCAAGCCCTTTTATTTTGCAGGTATCTCTGAGACGGAACTAGGAAGGAGGCCCCAGTCCCCACTGGAACCACAAACTCATCTAAGAGGGCGGGTTCTCCTCCAGCTTATTCTGAAGCTCCTCTGCTCAGGGATGCAGTGCTAAGACACGTGTATGCTCTTATGGTCCAAACGGATTTACATGGGTGGAAGCTCCATTTATTTCAGTGCAGTATACATGTATTGCTGGACTGGGACCCAAGGTTGCACTCTGGGTATACTTGATCATAATCATGTAGCATCTAGGGCAGGGCCACATGTCATGCGTGATGCAGCTGCTCTCTCGGGATAGTTTAAACTGCAGGCTTCAGTGCAGGGCTAACGGAGTGAGAAAGGATGTCCTTAAGCCTTTGCTCTTGCACTTGCCACTGGGAAATCTCCCCTCTCCCAGTTGCTTGCAGGAATGCTGGGGAAGTTAGCCCAACTCTTGCACTCCAGATCACAGGACCAGTGGCAGATGTTTCACAATGGAGTCAAAGAACTGGCTGTCATTCTCACAGTTGTGTTTAATTTGCCAGTTTTTAAGGCTCACAGCCCCCGCTGTAAAGCACATATCGGATTCAAGAATCTGATTCAAGAATCTGTGATTCAAGAATGATTAAGCACAGTTTTCTTCAGAGGGCAGGAAAATACAGGAGCCATGATCTGTCCCATATACCTAAAGATGGTATGAAGCGAGTAAATGTGAAGATTTTGCCTGAAGACCACAGCTCAAGGCATCTTGGTTCTCAAAGAGGTTGCAGTATGGCCGAGACTGAATTAGCGCCTTATGGCCATATGCAGAAATACAGCCATGCTCAAACAGCACATTAATACAGCACTGCTGTATTTCCTAGCATTTTGTGTAAGGACATGGACTCAAGATAAGAAATGTTCAACATATGTGGTAAGATGCCAAACTCCAAAGAGAAGCCACCATCCCTGCTGAAGCAGGGCACCTTTTTTGGAAAGCTGACTTTGAATGAGGCAGTAATACTTGCCAACACATTTTATGATGGTCTGCTGTTTAAAAGCTACAACCCATGTGGCAACATGATAAATTTGCTGCTTCCTCAGGCCCTTCTCCATAGATATGGAAGATAGAATATTGCCTCAAACTTTGCATTTCCAGTACTATTTGAGTATCACAAAACATTTGGAAGTCAGATAAGGTAGAATATTTGGGGCAGAAACATTCTGTAATTTGCTTTTTTAAACATTCTAAAAATACACTAAAGGAGCAGTAATTTCCAAACTGAGTTTAATGAGGAATACCTTAATTAAATATTGTTATGAACCCAAATTAAGTACCCATCCACAAGGTAGGGTGCCTATGCTGGTTGTGAAGTCACGTCCAACCCTGAATTCCTCCAGGTTCTCCTATCTTCCACCATCCCCCAGAGTCCGCCTAAGCTCACACCGACTGCTTCAGCGACTCCATCCAGCCACCTCATTCTCTGCCTTCCCCTTCTTCTTTTGCCATTAATTGTTCCCAGCATTAGGCTCCACTCCAGTGAGTCCTTCCTTCTCATTCTCATCTCTTATTTTTGCATTGCTGCCTCCTGGTCTCAGCTAGGGATTGTGAATTCTTGCACACCTCTTCACTGGTATAACTGGATCAATCATTCACACAATGAAGAGAGACCACTGTTGTGTTTTTGCCTGTTACGGGTCTGGGCTGGCCAGCTTTTCCCCTTCCGGAGGTGTGCCCAAAATAGTAATCAGGTTGTTATGAGCTAGGTTTCCTCATTTGCACTTCCAAAACAGACCATTCTTTGGCAAAACCCCTCTCCTTATTCTCCAATGCATTTCCTGTAAGCAAAACAAAGCATGAGTCTCTGAACACGCACAGAGTGGCATGTTGAACCCAATTTAGCACCTGCTTCTGAGAACTCTCCTTTTGAGTCTGGGCGCCATCGCTCTGGGAAGGCCCCCTTGGAGCTGAACTAGCCTCTTCTCTGTACACAGGCCCTCTAGTTGGCTAGCCCTTCTCTCCTGATGCCATGCCATGGGGTCAAGAGTCATACCAGCCTTGTCTGGATCCTGGAGCTGCTGTCCCATTCCCTCTTCCAACAGTTGTAATTCCTGGCTATTCTAAAAGTCTGCCTCAACCCCTGAAGAGGGGAGCCTTGAGATAAACTCCATTTCTATCATCTCAATGTCTGGAGTCTCAGTTTTTCAGCCCCCTCCCTGACGAGGCTAGATCAGCATGCCCTGGGAACGTGTGCCAAGAGCAACTGCCCCTCTCATTCTCCACATCAGTTCACGTGGCAGCTAAAGCAGGACCTTGAGACACATGAAGAGGCTCAGTGATTCATGCAGAAGCATAGATTGCTTTTTCTGCACATTGTTTTTGTGTTACTCTATAGCAAGTCGATATTCTATGCATATTATAAATAACTTATTAAAGGAACACTGAAGAGCAGCTTACACCATGGGTGAGTGTTGTTACGCTTTCACAATTTAAAAGTAAATATTCTGGGTGTTAAGAGTTTAATTAAACCCTGGTTCAACTGTTGGAACTTCAGAAAACACTGAGGCATTGCTTATTTTAACTAAATTCAATTGTTTGCCCCTAGCTAGCAGAGGTTAGTGCTATGCTTTGCTGAAAAAGGCTCTCTCTTAAAGCTTGGAAATGCTTTATGGACACTCAAAGTTGGCCTTTTGCTGGAGAATTTGACTACTGGTAGCTAAAGATACCATTTAATGAACAATGACATACTCTGGCTGGGTTCAGGCAACACAACAAGTATGGTGGGCTTTTGCCATTGATGGTTTGTCATGTAGTCTGAACCCAGCTGTGGTATTTCACCATGGCAAGTTTGGTAACCATGATAAGGAACAATAGTTTTTTCTACAGTTCCTTTGTATCATCATGGCTTGTCATGTCTGAACACAGAATCATGGTTCCCAAGGTGCTGGTATGCAACTACCAGAGAGTGGCAACTGCAGGGGTCACTCCAGCCATCCAGCCTCTATGTGTGGACCAATGAGGAAAAGGCAAATGATCCAGGCAGAGAATGATACACTTTGGGAGTAAATTTCAGGCCCAGTGCCTGACTCATGACTGAGCTAGGGGGATAGAAACCATGATAAAGTAGAAACCACTGTCTGTTAGGTAGAGATCATGGTAGAAAACTGCAAACTATGGTAACCATACAGGGTTGCCTTTCGTGTTGTGTGAACATAACCTCTGTGTTAGAAAAAATCACAGCTTGGAATCATCATTTAATAATAATACCTTCTTGTTTAGGTGTCACGAAGGGTCTCCAATTACACATTGCAGCCGGGGGTGGCATACACAGCAAGAAAGATCTGAGCAACCAACAGCCAGGATGAATAATCAGAAACAGCTGGTCTGTAGGCTGTATGGATACATAATTAATCTACTACAGGAAGCTTTTCCCATCAAAAATTATAGGTATGGTTAAGATGTTAATGAGAACACCCCCCTTTTCCAGTGGTTGCATCCTATCCTTGCAATTGTGCACCTAGAGTGCACACAGACCGCAGATACGAAAACTGTACTCCTGGCTGTGACCAGCTTTGAAGAATCTCAGTTTGGATGGAGAGTAGTAAAGGGCTTTAGAACAAATGAATCAAGTACTTTATTGGAAGCACTTCATATCCAAGTGCTCTCATTTACACTGTGGGTAAGCACTTGGCAACAAGACTAATCCGGTATTACAGCCATTTGGGAACAAACATATTATTGTACTTCATAGGCCAAGATGAAAGCCTGAGTGTCCCTCCCCCACATTCTCTGGCACTATATTTGTAGTCATGGGTTTAGATCCCCAACCAAAACTCTGTAGGCCTCCGTGGGATTACACGGTGGACCAAACAGGTTCAGTGTAGTGGTATAAAGGTTCCATGTTGGCAGAGCTAAGTAGCAACAAGAAACCATCTAGGCACAAGGGACACATATGAGAAACAGGGATAAGAAAAATGTTTTGTCTCATGCCTCAGAATACAACAGCTGAGTATATGCATTCAACAGGATGATTCTTTTTGAACAGTTATCTAATTTTCTAAAGCAGCTGAGAGAGCCACCTCTCACCAATCAAGCCCATCATGTTTCAGGCAATTCACAGACAAATAGAACAATGGAGTCTAAGTGTTGTAACATGGCATTTACTTGCTCAAATTTAAAAAAATGATGGCATTCAATTGCTCAGTACTCTTGCCTTCACCAACACAGCCACATACATCACACACTATAAGAGATCTTGAGATCACACCAGTAACTGAACGGCACAAAGAGCGTGGTGGGGGACTGCACATAGGGCAAAAGTGCTGGAACAACGTAACATAGTAACAGTGCTCCCCCTCCTTTCCCTTGATCAGCCTTGCCTTTGGTAGGTCTGGAAAAACTTGACAATATATACAATTTTCTAAAAACAAGTTCAAGCTTGCAGATGGCTGAATCTGCAACAAGCTTTATGGACACTCCATGAACTTCAAAAGGTGGGGGAGAAGAAAGCTTGTCATGGTCACTCCTTGAATTTCCACTCCTGTCGGCACATTGGACAGTGCTGCTGGACTTGCTGGGAGTTAAGCCACTTGAGAATGCAATGCATGTGGAAGCAGTGTGAGCACTGACCCCATACCAGAGGACAGTCATCGCCAGGCACCTTACCTGCAAAACATAGATCTCCTTAAGAAAAAGTTAAGAGAAGACAGTAAACACTGGTCAGTAGTAATGCTAGTGGGCAGATAGACCTGATACTCACAGTCTGGACAGCAACCATTAAATGCCATCCGACAAATGCCACAATTCTCATCATTGGCAACCCAGAGCCAGGAAGCAACTCCATGCCAGCTCTTGATTTTCACTTTCATTATGTCCAGATTACACACTATGCTCAGGATAGTACCTGGGGAAAAGAATAAATATAAGCTTGTATGGGGACTGCCATAATTTTTCCAAATGAGAAAACCCATGCCCCACAAAATTGTACTCTCACATTTCACTGATTAGACATTTGTATACCTGCTTCAGCTAACTCTGTTGGCTACCTAACATTGAAATACTGGCTACAGTCAGTCCTTTGCATTCTTAAATTAAAAAAAAAAACAATTATACAGGAAAAAATGATGTAGGATCCCACTTGACAAGGATGCCTAGGACAACATTCAGGTGCCTTGCCTATCAGCTCTGCTCTGTGCTCTACCTTTGAACTCCAGCATCCTCTGTAACAGTAATGGGAAACCTCTACTTGTGGAGATCCTCATCTGGCCTGCCAGTTTCTCTCTTGGGCTCTGGTTTGTATCTCTATCAGCAGCTAACTAAAGATTAGAGCTGCTCCCTTGAGGAAAGGAGGGCAGGATCTAGCAAAGGAGGTGCTAAGTGATTCAGTACTTGAGGCTTGTCCTGTTTACTTTTTAGTAGGTATGCTACAGTTTTTGTTTATTTCTAGGTAGAATTAAAATGGGTAATCATCACATTTTGGTCCTACCCACTCTCAATAGAATGCAGCCTCCTTAGACTTTTCCCAGTTTGGAATTTGGCCTGTGGGCTTACCCCATATGCTTGTAAGGGGAAAGGAGCTTAACAGTTTATAAAGAAGACACAAATGCCTGCTATAATCTTACTAGGTTGAATTAACACAAAAGGCATGCCTTGCAAGGTATATTCCTAATCATTTTATTAGATTAGGAATTTGTGTAATTTCAAATGCCATTTATCCTTTTTTACTGGTGCTGAAGGACAAATACCTCCATGAGTGCTACTAGCAATCACTTGAAATATTAAGATAGAATGAAGACAGACACACATCTCTGGCATATAAAAAGTGGGTGATAACCCTTACCAGAGTTTTTCACACAGTTCTACTCTGCAAATGAAACAAAAGTTGCAGGAAGTTATGTTACATCAAAAGGAGCACTAATATCTTTATTTACTAAAACATTTACAAAAGCAAGGAGCCAGCCTGAGTTCATATTCTATCTGAAGTTAGATAACCAATAAACAAAATGGAGAGAAAATGATGAGTATGATGGAAAAGCCCCAGTCTTTAACTTGTGGTTCTGTTAAAATGGAGCAGAGGAAGCACCATGCTAATTCAATTAGATGAGATCAGGCTAAAGGCAAAAGAAATTTCAGGTCAGCTAATGGGATTAAGCAACAATGGTGGCTTTCCTTCAGAAAACAGTATTAAGCTGCAATCCTATCTCTATTTACCTAGAACACTGAATTCAGGAGCTTACTTTTGAATAACCACATAGATTTCATTGTTAGTCTTCTGATACTAATTAACATAAAGGAAGGCTGCACTGTCTGGCACAACTGCATCATGGTAGGATTCATCAAAGGTCCAGACATAACATACAGTATGGGAAAGCCATGGGGATTTGCAGGGGGGAGGGTGCAAAGAAGAGATCAGGAAGCATTAACCAGAATTTTTAAAAACTTAATTAGAACACCTGAGTTATCCATAAGAAAAAAAGCAAAGAAAAATGCCATTTTATTAACCATCAACTTTATTAACATAAGTACGGTTTTAGCATTTACAAAGTGCAGGCTTTCAAAAAAAAAGTCTTATCCCGCCTCCACAGCTCATTTCATCTTTTTTTCTTATGAGTCAATCTGATTGGCTTTAGCCCAAAGTTGTTGCTTATTCCAGGATCACTTTCTTGGCACTTTACCATACTACTGAACGTAAGTAAAAGAAAGAGAGACAAAGGCTCTATCTCAAGAAGCTTACACTAGGGGAGACCAGGCACTGGGGAAAGAGGCAAGGGATGAATGCGATCAAACGCAGCCTCGTGCGGTACGGACGAAAGGTCCGAGGAAAGATTTAAAGGAGTCTGCTCGGAAGTCCTGGGAGAGAGTGCCCGGCGTAAGGGGCGCCGAGGGAACCGCCTGCGGAGGCGGTAGGAGACTGGAGGTGGGGAACTGAGAGTGGGGAAGAGGCCCCTCCCCAAAGCAAAGCGACATCCCTTTCCCCCTCAGGAACGGCCGCTCCTCCCGCCGCAGAAAAAGGTATCTGCGCCCCGCCCGCCGCCGCTTACGTTTATCTCAATCCCCCCATTCGCGCCTAAAGCGGACTCCCCAAAGCCTCACCGTACCGGAAGTCCCGCCCCTGATGGTCTCCCATGCTTCCTTGCGGGCCCACTCCCATAAAACCCCGCGCGATAACGTCGCTTGCTTCTTTCTTTCACACAAAAAGCCAACTCTACATGTGCGCGCGCTTTTTCTCCCCCTTCTTGTTTTTCCTATTCCCGCCTCATCCGTTTCCGCTCCCCGGTCTAGCGCGGCCGGAAGTGTAGGCCCCGGGAGCCGGAGGAAGCCGCCATCATGGGCGACAAAATGGATATGTCTTTGGATGATATTATTAAACTCAACCGGAGTCAGCGAGGTGGAGGAGGGCGGGCCGGTGGCGGCCGTGGTCGTGGCAGAGGAGCTGCGGGCCGAGGCGGCGGGGCTGGCCGAGGCGGAGCTGGCCGAGCGGGCGGTGGCGGCCCTGTGCGGAACCGAGCCGCTCTGTCCCGGGGAGGCGGCAGGAACAGACCCGCGCCCTACAGTCGGGTACGTTCCGGGGTGCGCGGACTAGGGTGGATCCCTTCGGCGGTGGGCTTTGCGGAGAAGCGGAGCGAGCTGGGCCCTCCTCCTCCTCTCTTAAACTTCTTTATGGGAACAATGCAGCCTGGGACTCTACGGTCTTCGGGTTCTCTGAGTAGTATCGAATGGAATCTCCGCCACGCGGAGGAGCTCTGTCGGCCGCTGTTCGGTGCGTGGGAGCAGATTCCGGTTACCGGTGTGCGTAGGCTTGGTTGGGGAGTACGTGTTTTGAAGAACGAGAACAAACTGGGGGGCGCCCCTCGGTTTAACTGAGATGCCGAAAGTGTGTAATGGGTGTGGGAGCTCCTTCGAGATGCTGGGCCGTGCTGACTCGAGTTTTATTATTTTTTTACAGCCCAAACAGCTCCCTGAAAAATGGCAGCACGATCTGTTCGATAGCGGCTTTGGTCCTGGCGCTGGTGTGGAGACAGGCGGAAAACTTTTAGTCTCTAATTTGGATTTTGGTGTCTCGGATGCGGATATACAGGTACTTTTTTCCTTTGACTGTAATATTTTGTTTTGGATTAGTGGATAGTTGTAACTCGTTTATGCTTTGTTCATTTTGATCATGTGATAAGGTCTTATTTGTTGTTGCGGATTCTACATGCATAACTTCTTTGTTGTACTTAAGCTTGATCTTTTTTCAAAACTGCCCTGCAGTGAATGATCAGCAGCACCATTTTTTAATATCGTTTAGGATGATCTTCTAGTTAGCTTTCTCAGTTGCTATTTGGATTATATATGGTCACTTATAGAACTAAGTCTTTGCACGACTCTGCTGATATATATTCATTTTTGAAATGTAGTCATTTCGTTCTGGCTAGTGAAGATTAGGCTGCCTCTTGGAACCTTTCCTTGGCAGAGAATCTGAAACTAAGGCTTCTTTTTAATACTTTCTCTAATGATATGTACTGTTAGGCATATTCTTTCTTGCTGTTTATCCTTTGATATTTTTATTCTCTTACGTGAGCTCACACATGATATTTTTATTCCCTTATGTGAGCTAAATATATAACAAATGTTTATCTTATAAGAATGTTGAGGGTAACATTACATGAAAATCCTTTTTGTGATTCATTTCATATTTGAGAGTGGGAAAACTATATAAAAGAAAGATGGATAAATCAGTTAAGATGTTCAAATCTTATTGTAGCTTGGCTTCCATATTAAAGTAGATGCAAAATTTTTCAAGTGATCTTTGGTCTCAAATGCATTGGGCTCATGGTGTTCAGCCGTTTTGCTGATTGGCTCTTGAAACAGCATAGAATTGAAGACACTTACATGGTTTGAGACTCAAAAGATGCCACCATACTGTTGACAAGCATGCACCTGCAGTTTCTTCCACCTCTTTGAATCAAATCCTAACACAGATAAGGTGCTTAAATAACTGTGCACGCTGTGGGCAGTTGTTTTTGTGCTACATGTTAAACTTTTTGGATGAAACTAATACATGTTTTCCACTGACAGAACTGTTTCTGTCAGTGGAACGGGTAGGGAGGCTTTCCCCCGTGTGCCTTCAGGAGCAGGTTTTCAGGGTGGCTACAGAAGAGAAGAAGAAGAACAAGTTTTATCACTTTAACAGACTTCTCCCCTCCTACTTCATTGCTGGGGCTACTTTGCTTACAGTACCATCATGTAGTGTCACTTACCTGTTTAGGACAGCCTGTGCTAGCTAGTGGTTGAAAGATTCGTTGTACTTCCCATGTTTTGGAGCTAAATGTAAGCAAAAAGGGAGGCAAAGGGGATGTGGGACCTAACTTATAGCTGTAATAAAAAGTAAAGCATTTATGGAGAACAGAAAATCTCACTGCCCTTTTTCCTAGTTAATAACTTTATGTTATAAGGTGATCTGAACAAGTTTGTTAACTTGAAAAACTGTTCAGGGATATATGATGTATTCATCTTATCGTTTTACCTTTTAGGAGCTTTTTGCAGAATTTGGGACATTGAAGAAGGCAGCAGTGCACTATGACCGGTCTGGACGTAGTCTGGGTACTGCAGATGTTCACTTTGAGAGAAAGGCAGATGCTCTGAAGGCTATGAAACAATACAATGGAGTTCCCCTGGATGGTAAGTACTTGTTCATCTGTGTGGGAGATGGCCCAGCACTGTCCTAGTCATAATACAACTATTTATTTAAGCATTTTTCTGGCAGCTGTAGGTGAGAAGAGATTGTATGCAGGACAAGCATATAAAGTGTTGTGGAAGTGAACGAATGGCATAGACTCAATATTAGAAGTCAAGTGAGCTGTCAGAGGAGGAATGTCTGTCCTTTGCACTCAGCATAGGAATGCAGTGGGTTGCCTGAAGAGGGACGTTCTATTTCTCCTTTGCTGCCCTAGTAATATGTGGGTGTATTTACAAAACTGTCGTAAATCATTTGTTTTTCTTGCTCTCTCTAGGACGTCCCATGAACATTCAGCTGGTTACATCACAGATAGATACACAGAGAAGACCAATACAGAGGTAGGTAATTTACCATGATGTTTACACTTTGTTAGCTATGTGGTAGCCTTGTGTTATAGGAGATAAACCTGGTGAAGACCTGGTACACTTGTACTTTTGATTGATCGTTTAAAGAAAACCCTCTCTATGACCCATCCCCAGGGTTTATTAAAACCTCAAACATACTATAATCACATGTATCCACTCTGACTTCTTTGTGGAGTATGCAGCTTATCTTATCTCTGTGAATTACTTACAATGCTTCTAATTCAGCTTTCCCCCCTTTAGTGTAAATAGGGGAGGCATGACAAGAAACCGTGGTTCAGGTGGCTTTGGCGGTGGCACCAGGCGGGGCAGCCGTGGCAACAGGGGCAGAGGTAGAGGTGCTGGCAGGAGTTCTAAACAGCAGCTTTCTGCAGAAGAGTTGGATGCACAGTTGGATGCCTACAATGCCAGGGTAAGTAGGAGAGGGTGCAGGAGGGGGTGGCAGGGGAAGCAAGCCTGATGGGAGAGCTAATAATATGCTTTTGTACATTGGACATCTGGGAGAAAAAGTGTAACTCCACAGGAACTCAGCAGTTAGCCTTAATGCTGAGCAATATGTTGGCTGTATACTAGTTCACTAACCACTGAAAAATTAAAGCCCTGCTGGATCAGACCAAAGATCCATCTAGTCCAGAACTCTGTGCACGTAATGGCAAACCAGCTGCCCAGAGAATCACTCAAACAGAATTGGGTGCACGATCTCCTCCTGCCCAAGCTCATAAGCAGCTGGTGTATGCAGGCATGCCACCACTGGTAAAGGAAGCAGCACATAGTCAGTGATAGCCACCTTCCTCATGTCCAATCCCCTTTTAAAGCCATCCAGATTGGGGGCCATTACTACTTCCTGTGGCAGCAAATTCCATAGTTTAACCATATGCTGTACACTTTACTGGCTCTCCAGTTCTGCAGTGACGTAGTAACTCCCAAACTTAAGAAAAAGCATATAGTGTCCTTTGTTAGAACTCCTGGCCTGCAAAGGAAGCCTTGTGGCAAATGGGGTGGGCTAAAAATCTAATAAAGAAATACAAGGATCAAGCTAGGCACATTTTGCTACATTCCAGTTTTTTCTATCTGTACTGTTCATGATTTGGAACAAGAGAAACAACTCTAAATTCAGTGCTTTTTTACCGGACTCCAGAGCACTTGTTACTTAATACTGTCCCCATCAATTCTGATTATGCATAATCTATATACTGTTGGGTACAGATTTTAGGCTTTTTACTCTTGATATGCAATGGTGCATAATTTTGAATGGTAATCGCTACACGTGCTAAAGTCATTTGAGCCTCTGCTTTTTATCAGTTGATAGGTTTATTTTTTATATTTGTCAAGCTCCTATAAATGGATTCAGTAGACAAATTAGAGAATTAGAAGGACCATAAGATGTAAGAATAAGATGCTGCTATAATAGATTTGGGAATTGATACTGTTAGTATTATTTGAAACAATAGTAAATGCTATTAATAGCGCCAGTAAATGATATTACTGTAAAAATAGGAGCTCTTAAAATATTAACTTGTACTGAATGCTAATCTAACCATTAATTAAAATGGAAGATTAAAGGAAAAAACCTTTTTATGCCTTGCTCCACCTTTGTCCTCTAGTACTCTGAGCTGCCAGCCTAATCTGAAAGTAGAGATATGTCCATTTTGCTTGTTCACCATTGGAAGAAAGTAAAGCAGGTGACACTGATGCCTGTATGGACTTTACTCTGGCCAGGCTTTTCCAATCCAGGGCAAGCTTAATGAAGCAAAATCAGGTACCTGGCTGAGATGCTAGCTTGGAAGAGTGCTTTTCCAGCCTGTGCCCCCCACCTCCATCTCAGAAAAATCCGCAAAGTTTGACTAGGAATGAGATGGCATTAGGGAGGTGGCCCTATCACAGACAAGGCCTTGCCTCATGATGTTATCCATTCCTTGATGGGAGGGGAATCTGAGGATCATTCCAAAGGGGTCCCCCTGGTTTATAGTGAAAGCTTCAAACCTGTTAATACTTTCGCATACAGGAGGGTTATGTTTCTTCCTTTTCAGAACCTTTTTCTGAAAATAGCTTGAATCTGTTGTGTTCTTACAACTACAGCTGAACAGGAGAAGTATTGAGAAATATGTAAGTCCTCCAGGTTAAAGAAATAAGTTTCCTAGTAACATGTAGACTTAACAGGGAAGCAATTTTTAAAGTTTATGATAGTGCTGAACGGGCTGGAATATACTTCTAAGGAGCAAGCCTAGATAATCATGTAGCTTTCTTGCTATTTTGCTCAGCTGCTGGCAACCAAGTGTCTCTTTTCTTTCAGATGGACACCAGTTAAAGCTGTTGATACGTCGTGTGCATGGGAAGGACTGCAGACATCTCATTCCATGCTCCCCGGCGGGAGGGGAAAGGTGTATGGCGGCGGCTACTACTAATATCAAGAATGGAATTTGTTTTACTTTTATGTTTTGGAATAGGTTTTAAACTCATGTAAAGGTTTCTTTCTTTTTTTTTTAAAATTCTGAAACAGATCTGTTTTGTACCAAGTTATTTTTGGGAAAAATTTTACTGGTTGCCTGTTGGGCCAAGGTGTCTTTTTTCACCTTGGCAGTAATAAAATAGAAATGTGTCTAGAGCTGTAAATGTCTGCTTCCTGTTGCAGCTGGAGACTAGCCTTGAGCCTGCAGAAGCCAAGATGGGTAGAGGAGCAGATGTCTGCCTGCAGGCTCCTAGAAAAAGAGGTGGTGCTGGTGGCCCTTCCCATTGGGAGGGGTTCTGTTTTTTCAGGTCTCTCCTCCACTCTGCTCCAGTAGGGGCATGTAAACTGTATGTCCCTTCTCCTATGTGCTGACTTTCCTCCCTTTGTGCTAAAACCAACCTGTGTGATTGCATTTGAAGGGAGGTGGTGATGGTCTCCAGTGAAATAATTCCGCCCTTGGTCATGGAGAAGGAATAAATTTCTTGTTAAAGTCGTTTTTGTATTTAACACTTGATTCCAAAGTTCAGTGCTGGTCCCACCTCAGTATTTTTACTGTAAAAAATAGTTGCTGTGAAAATTCAGTGACTCCAACAATGCCAAGTAAAGATTTAGTCTTTCAACTTGCAATTCCCTATTGAATTCTTATTTCAAGTAAATCTGGTGGCATTTGTTACCATCTCTTTTCAGCTGCTTATGTGTTGGGTTAAAGATATTTTCGAGTCATGTGAGAATGTGGGGCACAAATTACATAAGAGAACAATGTGGCTGGGGTGAAATCCTTTGTCTCCTGTGTTAGGATATAGTTTTGAAGTCTGATGCAGGCACCATGCCAGGACACAAACCTCATCTCCCAATTCTAACAGACTGGGTTTTAACAGAAGAGCAAACTCAGTTTTGACTTAAAGGGTTAATTTGAGTGTGGTTAATGGCATACTTCTTCTTTTGGGACCACAATATCCTAATGCTGAAATGGGAGTAAGATTTTGTCAATTTTAAACTGGGTACAGCATAATACTAATATTACATAGGAAAAAGCTAGTTTAAGATTCTTGTTATCTATTTGAGAGGATACATTTCACAATAGTTTACATAGCTAGTGAACAAGTATATATATAAAATGTCTAAATTATTGATAGCTGATAACATGTGAAAACTTTTCTACAGAATTTATCTCCATGGATACTAGGTTGAAAAAAACCTCAATTGTGAAAACCTCATATTACCACTATTTTTGGCATATAAGGATAGCAATTTGGAAATTATGTTCATAGGTTTGGAAATTATGATAATGTATGTAAGCTGATGCCTGTTTTGGTAAAAAAAAAAGATAGCATTGCAACTGTGAACCATGTTTTCATTATATTTCAAAATTTAGTTTCTTTTTTTGTAATTCCTGAAACTTCACAGAGAAAGCCTGTTCATATTAGGAAGACAATGGAACCTTTCTGTTTCAATTCATTCTCAGATGTAATTCTGTGGGTGGAGTACATTCTTCATATTCCCAGAAAGTTAAGAATTATACACTCCCTAGAATTCTTGAGTTTTAGAAACGAGCTATATTAAAATAAATGCTGCTGTATACACTTAATAATTTATCATACAGGAATTGGTCATAAATGCTGAGTTAAGCAAGGGGTCCTTTTTACATAATTAACTACATGGTGGAATTGTATTGATCTAAACCTGGTATTTATTATACAATATTTATGAATCACTTGTATTAAAAAAATTATCTAGCATTGTACAGAGGACAAGATAACATTCCTAGGAATTCCTGTTGGAAACTATTTTTAGTTGGTAGAGTCAATGCCAACCTAATTTTTAGTGGTAGGGAGTAAGAGTGGATGCTATGATACTAAAGGCACTGTTCGGAACCACTATAGACACTGAAATCTTGTATACACTAGGAGGGTATCCTCAAGTTAGTGCAGCAGCCATGTGGGTTGGTAGGAGTTTATGTAATATTTTGGTAAAAATCTATAGTGTGGATATTTCAGAGAGGCAATGAAGAAATTTAAGCAATCTTAACTGCTACTTCAATGCTTCACACTTGTATAGTTAGCTAAGCAAAGGTTGTGTTAAGCTGCCACTAAACAGCTATAGGATATCCTGTTGGAACCTGATAAAACCTGTGACACAAACATGGCCATAAGCATAAATTCAATTTTCATGAAAGTGGCACACTGTTTGCATTATCCTAAATATAAGGAACAAGTTTGTTCCTATTGGAATACAAGTATGGGGTACTGAGCTATTGCCTATTCTGACCACCGCCTTATATTTATTTGATAAAGTTAACTCAGATGGTAGAGTTAAATAGTCAATTGGCACTATACATAGAGAATGTTCTGGTAAAGCAACCTGTGCTCAATGGTCATGGGAGGGAATCCTATGCACATCTCTATACTAAGACTACACAGAACTGCTTAACCCTAAGTTTGTTTGGTGGTTGTAAAACTGCAACCTCATCGGATCATAGTAGTGCATGGTACCAAATACTTTAAAAGAAAAGCGAAGACAAGACTAGCCATGACCCAATTCCTTTAAACTAAAAGCCAAGTAAGCGGCTTAACTGCATAGTTCCTGCCCGATGCATGTTTACTCAAGGACGGGATTCCTCCGCTACTCCCCCTTTGAATGATACCTCTAAATGAAGTGAGCAGAACTGCTATCGCCATTCCTCCCACGTACATCTTGGTGTGGAGGTGCGATTTGTAGCAGCTACATGCGGGGAAGGGGTAAAATTTCCCCCATCAAACGTGGGGTACAGTGAACTGTAACTCCGGCCTAACAATCCGCCCCACTCATCAGGCTCACTGGTAGAAATGGTGAATATTTTTGTTCGTTCTAAATATATCGAGGCAAAACCGGCTACATCTATCACGACAGCACTTCTATTGTAGTCCTAAAAGGGGCTGATCAATGTTTCCGCACTTGCTTCTGTGAACGCCTGTGAGCAGCGGAGTGCCATGTTGCGCTCACGCACTCCTCCTCGCTAGGCGGTTAGAAAAGAGCTCCGCCGAAGCCAGAGACGCCCGATCCCGTCCCTCCGTCCTCACAATGGGAGAGCGTGACTCGCCCGCCGCAGCAGAAAAGAGAGTCCGCCATTCCCACCCCAAGATGGCTGCCGGGCGAGGGCGAGCAAAGTTGAGCGCGAAAGCAGAAGCTCTACCCGGAGTACGCGCTCTTTACGGCCCTCTCTCGCCCCGCCGCTCTGGTCTCGCCGCCGCCGCCGCCGCCGCCTTGGGAGCCAATGCCGGGGCCGCTCGCCGGAAGTAATGCCTAACTTGGGAGGGCTTACTTCTGGCGGGAAGTGACGTCAGGCGGGCACCGCGGAAGTGCGGGGGCGCGCGCTCGGGCGGGGTGGATCTGGGCGGTGGCGGGCGGCGTTTGTCACCGGCGGCGGTAGCGGCAGCGGCAACAGCCACGCGAGGCAGGTAGAGGCCGGCGCGTTTGCTGCAAGGGAGGAGGGCAACGGCTTGGGGCTGCTTCCCGCGCGTGGGTTCGCCTTACTCTTTCTCTGCCTCCTTCGCGTGCCTTGAAGTGGGGTCGCTCCCTTCCTGCGTGCTCCCTTCTGCACTCTCGGCCTCGGTGTGCGCTCTTACTCGGGGTCACTTTCCCAGCATTCTTGCCAGGGTTGCTGAGATTTAGAATTTGCCGGCACTCAGACTATAAGGGCAACTTCCCTGTGCCCCACCTGGCTGACTTTCTGTTTTCATTGCTTAATGGTCTCCCTGTCGAGGGGCGCTAATATATTTTTCTGTTAGGGTGCTTGTTATTGTGCCATGTCGCTATCTGCTAGTATGGGGGCAAGGAGGGAATAGTATAATCTTCTGAAAATTCATTGGCTGGTATATTTTATGTTGCGAGAGTCTTGCCTAGAAGGGCTTAGTGAATTCTGAAAGGAGTTCTCATGTTTGAGAAAATTAACAGTGTAGGTGGGTTAGGTTATGGATCAGAACTGATTAGACCCATCATTTAGTCTGCTCGTGTTAAGTGGAGTAAGGGGGACATATGATAGATTCAACACATTTTTGTGCCTCTAAGCGTTTTAGTGAATAACATCCAGTACAGCACCCTTGAAATGTTACTTTCCCCCTTTTTTTTCAAATAGTGTATCGAAACAATCAATGGCATAGATTGGTATTGAACACATGTTGTGTTAGTAAGAGGAAACAGATGTATGTTTCCACTTAATTACTCAAAAAGGTAGTTCAAATAAGCTTGAGAGTAACTAGGCAAGAACAGTTACCGTATGTTCTTGCTAGTGATACTGATGAATTCCATATTCCTAGAAGTCTAGATAGATGTCTGTTAAACGTAAATCTTGCCTGAGTTCAAGGAAGTAAGTTGGTGGGTTTATATTGCTGTTTATTTCTTATTTTTAAAATGGTTCTTTATTGAGCTTTTTGAAGATTTGACTGGTTCGTACTACTGTCAGCTTCATGATTTTAGAAACCAGCATTTATCTTTGAGTGCTTTCTTAGATTTATTCTGTGTTGGCTTTGACTATATGTTAAGGGGGAAGCTTGCAAAGCCACTGGATTTTAATGATAGAGCAAACTACTACAGGTTAGGAGGCAGATAATGTGCATAAGCAATTGGCTAATAGTATGCTGTGCAAATGTTGGTCATTCTACAGCAGCTTGCCTTATTAATAGTAGGTTAGGCTTCCCGACCTGGTGCCCCCTAGAGGGTTTAGGCTCCAACTTCCAACATTCCTGACCATTAAGCATGTTGTTTGGCAAAAATGGAAGTCAAAGTCCAAAATATCTGGAGTACTGCAGTTGGGGAAAGGGTGTAGTAGGTTACTCTCAAGAGTCGGTATATTCATAATTATGGCTAAAGTCACTCAAATCAAGCGAACGTACATTCTGTTCATTAATGTCCTGTGTCATTTTTGGCATTGGATTTAGTGGCCTCTGTAAATTAAGATAAGATGACCTTGGTGAATATGTGGTTTCTTCTTTGAACAATCTGTTGAAGAGACCTAGTAATGCTAGGTAGGTGCTTTCAAACAGTAGCTAAAAAGGTTGTATATTCCTTAGCCTGAATGTCCAATAGGTCTAGAGAATGGGAAAGATTTTCTGCACAGGTTGCTTGTAACATAAAGAATATGTAAACCCACTGCTATCTTCTCAGGCCTGCATAAATGGTATTGAAAAACTTATAGATACAGGAAGATGCCTGCTTGACACTAAGGAACAAATGCTCTAGACCAGTGTCTAAATGTACTGATGGCCCTTTTTGCCATGCTCAACAAAATGGCTAATCTGTAGACTCCTTCCAGTGGGACTTAAGTGCTTCAGCCAGGCTTTGACCTAATATGGGGTTGGCAAACAGAAGGCCATGAGCCACATGCACCCATCCCCTGTTTTGCAGCCCTAATTTGCTGTCCTGCCGAAATTTGGCAGCACAGTGGGAGGAGAGGGGAAGATGCTATATCAGGAAAATCAGCAGCTTGTTGTCAGTTTTGGTGGTGCCCCACTGGCAGCAAGGGGAGACATACACAAAGCAAAAACAACATCAGATAGGGGCTGAGCATTGAGACTGATCACAAGTCAGTTTCTCCAAAGTTTAGAGAAACTGGGAAGTGGTTGGTTGGGATGCTCAGGGAAGCATAACACAGGTGTCGGAGGGAACACAACCCTAGCCATTGATGTAGGTAGCTGGTTTCTGTTGAAAAATGGGAAGAAAGTGCCTTTTCTCTGCTTAAACAAAGATACTGCTTTTGTCTTACTGGTGACTTTAGGAGGAAGTGTAGAACTGTAGTTAAGGCTTGATTATAGTGACTGCACTTAGCATAGGCTAGTAAATCCAGGCTATAGTGGTCTAACTGTCAGTGTGCCATAAGAGTCTTTAATGTCTGGCTATAGATGACTTCAATTTCTTTCCTGGTTATGTGATACTCTACTATAAGTGTTCTTGTTAATTCAGTGCTACATCCTTCATTCAATCCATCAGAGGCCTGCCAACAGAGAATTGTTACCCCAATGATCTGCTTGCTGTGGGTTCTCTAATAGAAGGATTGCCACTGTAGTTCTTCCACTGAAAGCCAAGACTGCTAGCATGCCTAACTTTTACCTGTGTCAATATTGGCTGATGTGTTTTTATGTATGTTTGTACTGCTGGCTAGCTCACAGTGGCAGTGAATGGTATCCAGTGATAATTTTAGGCCAGTAAGAATCTGTCAAAGTTAACCAGTGCTTAGAGGCTGTAGTGCGTTTGAATATTTATGAAGTGTTCTGTACTGGGATATTCTTCCCCTTGGAAGACCAGAAAGTCTTAAAACAAAGACTTAGCATCCCATTAAAAATGCTAGCAGATGTGATAAAAGCCAGTGTGAATTACAGGATTTGGAAATCAATGGTTTCTTGCACCCCCACCCTGCTCAACTGCGCATATAAGAGGGACTTCCAGACTCCCCACTGATCCCTCTCTCCCTCACTGAAGCACAGTGCATTATCTCCAAGGCTAATGGGGTGTCAATTCATTCAAATGGAACCTTCTGCCAAAGTGAATTAGTGGCTTAGCCTTGGGGACCATTCATGTGAGAGGCTTCTGGTCTTGCTTCTCTTTGGCAGCACATTTCCCCGGTGGCACAGCCCTGTCTTCCCTGCAGTGCTGAACGTTCTTCATGTCTGGGTTACCATCTGATCAATCTGGATTGTGCTTTTCGGAAGAGCTTGAGCCTTTTAATTTCCAGCCGACCTTTTCTTTAGAAGCCTCCAAAGGATGAATGCGATACAGCTTGGAGGAGTAGGAAAGTTCTGCCTATAGGAACTTGAGCAGTCGTTCCTAACTTGGTGCCTTGCAAATGTGCTGTGGCAGGCTAGGAGTTGTAGCCCAACATATCCAGAGGGGAAAGGAGGAGACTAGGAGCATTGCCAGTGAGCAGTCACTCTGATGATCCAGATGGGTATTGGCTACTTAACAGATCCAAGGCATTGGCTTTGGCCCTACCATTCAAAGGGCTAATTTGCAATGCTGTTTCCCTATATAGAAATAGGAAAATGTGTGTAGGAAAATGAGCATTGCCTGCTGGAAAGTTCAGCAAGGGTGTATTTTGTACCTTAAGTATGCAACTTGCTTGATACATGTAGAACAGAAGGCACATCCTGTTGTCTGGCGATTCCTTCCTGGAGTCGGATTCATTCCATGAATAAGACTTGTGAAATTCTGAAGCATTGGCTTACCTTAATGGTATTCTTTAGTGTGTCCAGTATGGCCTGCCCTGTATCAACCAACTGTGCTTCAAGCCAGTGAATGAGGCAATCATTTCATTGCTGCTTACATGTAATGAGCAATTCACTATGAGACCAATTTGGAACCAAATTGCTTGCCTTTATAGATGTAGGTAAGTACCCTACTCACTCAAGCGCAGGCAGGTCTGCCTTTTGATATGTCACTAATTTGCAGTTTTTAATCTGAAGTACTCAGGGAGCAGCCTTGAATCATCAGATTCAAAAATGGCTCAGAATATTTAATCCTGGGTTAACTGTGTTAATGGTTACAGCAGCTTTCCTTGTCAGGTGTGTGAGGGTTCAGCCTTGCTGAGTTGCTTCTGTAGAACTATAATTGGATCTAGAGATGCTCCTGTTCCTGGAGAATTTATCAGTTCTATATTAGTACTGAAAGGATTCTCAGCAGTCCCAGCAGTTACAGTAGTAGCTAATCTGTTTTTTTTTCCTGACCTGTCTTCCTTCCCTGCAACCCCCTAAATATAGATGGATTTGCAGACTTGCCAGTCCAATCAGGGCTGAACTGACCATATTGCTAGAAATTGTTCAACACACTTTGTTTTGACCTTTCCGTATTTTTATTCTCCGGTGCGTTCTAGATAATATAGGATAACTTTCCAGTAATTGGTGCAATTTATGTGGAAATGGAGAGACCCTGAGGGGATGCACTTATGAACACTACACAAATGTAGTTAAGATGACCATGGTCTAGGATGGACTTGATGAAAATTTGAACAAATTCTTACATGTAGGGTGTGGGGGGCTTGGTGATCCTGGATGTTCTTAAATCTGCTGAAATAAATAAAGTTGGTTGAGCAATGCATTGCTCAGCAAGGAAATGTTTCAAAAGGAGTATGTGTCCCACATTGTCTGCTGATAAGCCAGGCTGGCAACAAATGATTGTCACATACAGGAAACTGTGATTCTCCGAAGTGCTAGTACTTGAAGGCAAGGAAGCTGTGGGTCACTGGATGTTGCACTGCTTTAAAAAACAAAGTGCAAGATTACTCCATGTTCAGGTTTGTACATATCAGGTTTCTTTCTACAAGCAATTTCTGTGCCAAGGAAATGTGCCCAGAATGCATTCCACCACCCATTGTATAATTTTTTTTCAAGCTGAACAGTTTGGAATGTTTGAATAATAAATAGGTTACAAGAAGGTGGAGAGGTAGTAGCTAGTTGGGTTATGTGTATGA